CAAGTCTTAGATGTCTTTTTGGATAGATCTGGGAAATCAATTCCTAAAATCAGCAAAATCCAAGAAGCGATTAAAGCTCTGAGCAAACATGCTGGTTTATCAGATGTTTGGAGACTCCTAAATACTTCAGCACAAGACTATACCTTCCTCTCAGAGTAGGTACTCTGTTTATAGTCAGATAAATAATTTTTTGATCTCACACTCTCTCATTTAAAGTGTTGGGAATTGCAATATTGGTTCAATAGCAATAACCGACCATGCCCCCATACAGTAGATGTAGTCCTACAATTGGGATCTCATTAAGAAAAGGCTAGGGGATGGAGGATGAATAACAATTTATTAATTATGTTGACCTATGCAAAAAACGCAAAGAACTAACTACTGAATATTTTATAAACAATACTAATTCTGCAGGCCAAAACTCAATTTATGATGGTTTAAAGTGTACATTAGGGGAATACTGATACAACACTCCTCTCTAATCAAATACAAGATTCCCAAAAGTTAAACTGTATGAAAATGAAATATTATTGCAGAGGGAATATCTGGAAAACATTAACCCATCAATCTTTGATAAATTAGTCAGTGCTAAATATGAGCTAAATACAATATTCTCAAAAAAGTAGATTACTCTCTTTTCTGGATCAAACAGAGATGGTATGAATCAGGCGATAAAGCAGATAAATTATTATCCAGCCAATTAAATGCCAAACAAGCAGCACGTCAAAGGACAATTTGATCTAAATATAGCAGAAGGGTTTTTTTTAGGGTTAACCGTTTAGAAACTATCCAAAGAGAGTGCCACATAACTAGAAGGACCTCCTAACTATGGAATAACTCGTTTAAACCATTAAAACATATTTAAGACCCTGGATGAAACTATACAAAGAGAGTGCCACACAACTAGAAGGACCTCCTAACTATGGAATAGCTTGTTAAAACCATTAAAACATATTTAAGACCCTGGATGAAATGATAAACAACTTTATTTCGGAGGGAAAAAGCCTGAAATGTCTTTCATAAAACTCCAAACTAAAATAGACTATGGAGGATTATGACTACCCAATATGCAACTATCATGAAAATATCAGAAAGCTTTTACAATCGCTTATGTGAAACAACCACAATTTCCCGACCTGAGTGAATTTGGAAGGTGAAGTAAATGCTCCATTTAAAGCCTTTATCTATCCTAACATCCAAATGATGGAATCAAATCAGTCCAATTATGACTCGCACTAAAAATGTTTGGCAGCATTTACATAAAAAAGCAAACACCTGTCCCTTCACTCAAGGAGCAGCCTCAGTGTGACATAACTCAATAATAAAAATAGAGGAGAAAATCTTCTGGAGGAGCTGGCATACAAAAGGGATTGACAGTATAAACTGCTTCTTCCTAAATGGTACCTTACTTTCATTTCAACAATTTCAAGAATTATTCAATCTAAACTACCAAGCTTTCTGGAGGTTCCTACAAACAAGGGATTGCCTCACAAAATTAAAGAAACCTGAGGTAACCACACCCACGGAATCACCAATATACATCATGCTTAATAAATTGACAGAGTCACCATGATGAGTAAGTCCTATTTATAACCACCTGATTAAGAACACTTGCAATATTTATAAAGGACCTAAAAAGGTATGGGAATCTGAATTAAACAAAAAGTTCCCAGAGGAACAGTGGGCTGCAATAGTCAAACAAATGTTGAAGCCCATGAGGTATGCATTCTCCAAATTGATACAGTTCAAAATCTGAATCGATTATATTGGACACCGGTTATATTACTTAGAGCTAGAATAAGTAAATCTGATATGCTGGCGATGTAAACAAAGTCCGGGGGACATGCTTCATATGTTCCTCATGTGTCCGAACCTAATTTGTTATTGGCAGCAGGTTATTTGGAAAATTAATAGCACCCTTAAGTCCAACTTTACTTTTGACACCTACATTGGGACTTTGTAACTCCTAGTTTATAACGTCAAAATAGGAACAAAAAAAGCACAGTGGTTAAAATAGCTCTCACCACGGAAAAGGTGAGTTATATTAAGACACTGGAAAGGACAAAATGTCCCTACCTATACAGAAATGCATGCAGCGCTTTTAAAAACCGCATTTTACGAACGACTCATCCACAAGATAAATGGTGAGACTGAAGCATATCAGAGTACGTGGGAACAGTTCTTAGAACCAGAGAGGTAAGGCTCAAACACTATTGGTCCAGAATAATAGGTAAAGTGTGCATGAACTTTTTATTTACAATATCTATTTACTTAATTAATTTTTTTAGATATATACTATATTTTCTCTTGCTTTACCCCCTCTGCTGGCTGGGGTGTGGGGAGTACGGAGAGGGAATATTAAAAATCTCAATTGACAATACCAATATTGTCAACGTCGGTTCCACTGTATGTTTAGTTGTTTAAGGATTTAATAAACATTGAAAACTGAGAAGAAAAAAATAAAGAAGACAGAATCAGGGTTTGAAAGCAGATGCCCTTAACTAATCCTCCACTCAATACAGTTATTTTCTTTCTAAAGGGAAGGTTTAGCTAAGCCAACTATCTCCAAAACAAAAATATCTTGACACAAGCCAAAATTTACAAATAAATGCACTTTTTTGTTTTTAATTAGCAATCTAGAATAATCTGTTTTTATGCTTTGAAATTGCTTTTCTAAGCAACATGGCAACACATGAGCTCTGATTGATGATAGCAGAGGGTATTATTGCTGAAGCCAAAAACATTCGCACCATTTTGTTATCTCTTCAAAACAAGCGAGTTACTCTTTGAATGTTAAAAATACCTTGTTAAAAGCTGATCTTTGCCTCAGGTCTGAGATAATTAGCTGCTGTCTGCCCCTAATACTGTTACATGCAGGTTTGTAAAAGCGATGTGAAATTTCTGCCATTTGAACTGATCCTTTCAGTCCTGATCCTTTCAATATATTTAAATTCAGGGATGCAAAAGTAAAAAAGGAGATGGAATATTTTTGCAACACTTCACTTAAATTCATGCTGATTAAAATGAAATCTGTATCAAGAGATTAAATTCACTTTTTAAATGAGCCCTTTAAATTTTATCTTTTGAGAGAAGGAAAATAAAAGACTTGATGAAGCTCCTTAAAGGACAAAAAATCCTGTAAAATTTTAGTTTCAGTTCCCCAGAGAGAACCAGACTGTTGTCCTCTGATTGGGCCGTCCTCTCTGATTATCCCAGCAGCAGCGGCACGAGTTCCTCGTTGAAGTGCTGCTGACAAGCTCCCCACCACCTGACACGACCCAGAGATGTTGCTACGCTGTCATGCCTGACCGAGTAATATCAGCAGAGTCAGATGAACTCTGACAATCTGCTGACTCTTTAGTTTGGACCTCCTGGGACCATTTTAGTCTGCTGTAATCTGAAGTTCTTTTTTATCCTTCATCATCAGGCTTGAAGTAGCAAAGTTTCTGTTTTACTGTCTGACCAAACATTTGGATCTACACTTTCTTTGCAAATCTATTTTAGTGAGGATGATGTATTTTGCTGCCACATTCACACTTAAGCAACTATCCTTAGCTTTATTCATGTGCAGTGTTTTGCTTGCACATCTGTAGCTTACATGTCGCCATGTATACCCATCCCAGGATCAAATATACATAATTCATCCTACAGAATGAGGTAAATAACCTGTATCGTGTGGCTCCAATTGTCAGGTCCTGCAGATTATGTGATTTTGCTTTGGATTTTTAGGGTTTGCCACATTCTTATATTTTTGCTTTTTAATTTGGTTTGTTATTGGGTTTTCTCAGCGGTTTTCCTTTACCTTCTCTAGTTATTGTTTCTATAGTGCTGAAATTGTTCTCTTTGTGTGTTTTTTGCAGGGTTTATCGCTTTCTTATCATTTTCCCTCAGCCAGGGCACCTGTGTTTTGTTATTTGTTCTGCCATTTGCACATTGTTTTCCCCACTACTTTAAAGAGGCACTACAGAGTTTTCTAATGATACTGCCACCTGTGGCCAAAACAGAACTGCAGCACCCTTATGTACGTTTGTAGCTGGAGCTCATTCTTGACAAGGTTATTTTTATATGGTTTTGGCATCGTTGCCTGAGTTGAGCTGTATGCAGTTTGCTTCTCAGCATCCACAAAATCCATCTCAAATATATCCCTTCAAATGTTAGCTAGTGGTTTGACCCATTCAACATGGGCGCGTTTGACATCACATATTGAATGAGTCAGAACGTGCAGAGGCTTTGCGGTAGTGCACCTTTTTACAAACAGGGTATAAAAGTCTTTCACTAAAGGGGGTGCTCAGCTCCTCCACAGTCTGGTGCAGAGGGTGGAAGGTGTTGTCCATGAAGGATGTAAGCTTGGATAGCACCCTCCTCTCAGCCACTTCCTCCACTGAGTCCAGAGTGCAGCCCAGGACAGAAGTGGCCTTTCTCACTAGTTTGTTTAGTCTCTTTTTGTCCCGCTCTGTGCAGCCAGGGGCCCAGGAGACTACAGCATAGAGGAGGGCTGATGCCACCACAGTCATAGAAGGTTTTAAGCAGGGATCTGGTCACTCCAAAGGACCTCAGCCTCCTAAAGAGGTGGATGCGGTTCTGGCCCTTCAAAGGCTTCCCTGTTTTCTTTTCACCCTGGAATTGTTTTGGATCATTCTTGTATGTTCCAGACCAGTGAAACTTCCAAATCAGTGTTAAAGATTATAACAATAAGGTGAATATCTGGTAAATCTAATAAAAGAAGAAAAAGTGCACTTTGTTTTTCCAAACACCTTTTCTATAAGGACTTTTCTTTGGTCAATAAGCTATATATGTATAAAAGTTAGTGTGTGTGCTGTGCACTTGGAGTTGAATAATATTTTAATCTGGTAAATACCACATCTTTTTAATTATGACCTGATACATAATACTTGTTAAAAGATGGTTTAACGTCTGTTTGCAGGTTTCTAAAGTGCCAAGCTAATAGAGAGAATCCTGAGTGGGTTATGTGTGAATAATTGGATTTTTCCTGTGTTCAGGTCCAAGTGAGCTGGATCTCAGTCTGCTGGGGGAAACAGGCAGCCTGGCAGAGGTAGCCTACAAGGACAATGAGGTAAGAGGATTTCTCAGGGCTAATTCAAACTGAAAACATAGATTTTATATTTAAATATGCATGAAGCTGTTACACTTGGTTCTTTCCTAAAAGACTGATGGAACCTCTAGAAGCCTAAAAATGAATGTAGGAAATCCTGTTGTAAGTGTCCTTCAGTTAATGAACCTTCCCTCCAAACTTCCTCTTTGGCATTTTTTATATATCTTTAGTACCAGTATTTTAATATCTCACTGCTCTTTTTGATCACATTTCACATAAAAACCACCATCAAGATAACAGCCTGACTTCCACATCCAGAGCTCTCATATTCTTGCATATCCTATTTGCATCATAACATAAATGACAGGCTAAAAGTAGCTTTAAAAAAAAAAAGAGGCATCAGTAAGTCCATCTCAAAGGCCAGATGATTCAGCGCTGTAAATGTCCTGAGATAGCAGACAATGTTGTGCAACGTTTGGCAGTGTTTCAAATCAGCTCTGTTCCATCTGGATGCTGCCGCCGTCGGTGAAGTAATAACCCCAGCCTCTTTCTGATCTGTCATGAAGGACACAAAACATCTTTCCTTTCCTCTTTTTGACCAAGTTAAACTATCTGCGCCTATATATATATATATATATATATATATATATATATATATATATATATATATATATATATATATATATATATACACATATACATATATATACATATATATATATATATATACACATACATACACTATATTGCCAAAAGTATTTGCTCACCCATCCAAATTATTGGAATCAGGTGTTCCAATCACTTCCATGGCCACAGGTGTATAAATTCAAGCACCTAGGCATGCAGACTGTTTTTACAAACATTTGTGAAAGAATGGGTCGCTCTCAGGAGCTCAGTGAATTCCAGCGTGGAACTGTGATAGGATGCCACCTGTGCAACAAATCCAGTCGTGAAATTTCCTCGCTCCTAAATATTCCACAGTCAACTGTCAGCTGTATTATAAGAAAATGGAAGTGTTTGGGAACGACAGCAACTCAGCCACGAAGTGGTAGGCCACGTAAACTGACGGAGCGGGGTCAGCGGATGCTGACGCGCATAGTGCGAAGAGGTCGCCAACTTTCTGCAGAGTCAATCACTACAGACCTCCAAACTTCATGTAGCTCAAGAACAGTGCGCAGAGAGCTTCATGGAATGGGTTTCCATGGGCGAGCAGCTGCATCCAAGCCATACATCACCAAGTGCAATGCAAAGCGTCGGATGCGGTGGTGTAAAGCACGCCGCCACTGGACTCTAGAGCAGTGGAGACGCGTTCTCTGGAGTGACGAATCGCGCTTCTCCATCTGGCAATCTGATGGACGGGTCTGGGTTTGGCGGTTGCCAGGAGAACGGTACTTGTCTGACTGCATTGTGCCAAGTGTAAAGTTTGGTGGAGGGGGGATTATGGTGTGGGGTTGTTTTTCAGGAGCTGGGCTTGGCCCCTTAGTTCCAGTGAAAGGAACTCTGAATGCTTCAGCATACCAAGACATTTTGGACAATTCCATGCTCCCAACTTTGTGGGAACAGTTTGGAGCTGGCCCCTTCCTCTTCCAACATGACTGTGCACCAGTGCACAAAGCAAGGTCCATAAAGACATGGATGACAGAGTCTGGTGTGGATGAACTTGACTGGCCTGCACAGAGTCCTGACCTCAACCCGATAGAACACCTTTGGGATGAGTTAGAGCGGAGACTGAGAGCCAGGCCTTCTCGTCCAACATCAGTGTGCGACCTCACAAATGCGCTTCTGGAAGAATGGTCAAAAATTCCCATAAACACACTCCTAAACCTTGTGGACAGCCTTCCCAGAAGAGTTGAAGCTGTTCTAGCTGCAAAGGGTGGACCGACGTCATATTGAACCCTATGGATTAGGAACGGGATGTCACTTAAGCTCATATGTGAGTCAAGGCAGGTGAGCAAATACTTTTGGCAATATAGTGTATATATATACATATACATATATATACATATATACACATACATATATATATATATATATATATATATATATACATATATATATATATATATATATATATATATATATATATATATATATATATATATATATATGTGTGTATATGTATATATATGTGTGTATATGTATATATATATGTGTATATGTATATATATATGTGTATATGTGTATATATATATGTGTATATGTATATATATAATTCAGTATCAAGGTATATTTGGTAGGGTATTTGAGTGTTTTATTAACCTTAGAGGAATGGGCCATTCAGTACGTTTCAATTGGGTAATGTTAAGGATAACTAAATGTGGTGTTTCCAAATGAGATCCTCTTTCTTTAATAATAATCGTAGAGACTGTTTTTTAGTGACTGATTAATTGATAAATGTTATATGCATTGTCAAATATATGTTTTAATCATTCATATTCAATATTGGTGAGGACAATGTGAATTTAAGATAAAAACATTGTATTTAATTAAATTAATTAAGGGCTGAGGTATTGCTAAGTAAATTCTATTATATTGTCATTTAGTAAATCTAAGTTAATGTATACTTTGGTTGGTTGAATGTTGAAAAGAAAAGCATCAATTTTGTAAATATTTAACAAACACTGTGTTTTTACTGTACCTATCCTTTACGAAAGTTACTGTTGTAAAATGTGACCTTGGGGTTCCATAAAACAGAAAGCATGTGTAGAAGAATTATGGGTAGATATTTTTGTAAATGCATGGATCTGCTTTTGAAAGTAGATGAATGATAGAGAGGTCTGGGTGCTAAAATAATCACATTGCAAGGAAAAAGAGATGGATCATCGCTATTATTTTCACCTTTTTGCTTAAAGCGTCAAATGCAGTCATGGATTATGGGTAATAAACTTCAATGAAATCCACTTAGGTATGTGCTTGACTGAAGTATTGCTGAAGGGTGCATAGGAGGTGGAGCAATTGGGACACACTTTTCACTCACACGCATCAGTTAGAACACGCTATTGGAGTATGGGGTGACAGTGGCGTCGGATGTAGAAGTTTGCCCTGCAGCCGAAGGGTTGTAGGTTCAAGCGCCGGCTTTCAGTGTCATTTTGCCCTTGGGTAAGACTCTTCACCTGCATGGCCTACTGATGGTCCCAGTGTCTCCTCTGTTCTGCAGCCTTGCTTCTGTCAGTGAGTCCCAGGGCAGCTGTAGCTGCAATATAGTTTGCCACCATTGTAAGTGTGTACGTGAATGGGTGAAGGTTTTAAGCATTAAACATAAAAAAAACTTGGCCAGCAGCTTATGGCAATGCAAAGTAACCCTCTGGAGGAAGTTCCTTTCACGCTCTCAAGCATTTAATCATAGAATCATTGTCCATAACTTAAACACTTAACATGCAAAATGCAGGAACTTTTGAAATGTTAGACCTGCGCAGCTAAATAAAGTTACCATATATGGTGTTCCTGATTGCAGTTATATTCTTTTAAAGGCAGTTTTTAGGATAGATACATTAAATGTAAAAATGTATCTATAATCCCTTCCTGGCAGCAGCATCTCAAAACAGATTAAGTTCTGGATGAGGCAGTCTCCACGATTATCGTTGGCATTCTCAGTCATCGGATGTAATAAAGGTCCAACAGTGAGAGAAGCAGCGTCTTGGTGTTTTAATGTCCTGAGCTGACTTTCTTCCTCTCTATAGTGTCTTCCTGCCAGTTGTGGTGCAGCTTGTTAACCTCACTAAGACGTGTTGAGAGGTGATGCTTTCAACAGGAACTATATGAAAAAGACAGCAGCTGCTTTGGGGAGATATGAACTTCCCTTAATGACCTCAAACCATTGTTCTTGCTGCTGCAGTTAATGTTGACTGACCACTTCTTACCAAAGGCCTGTTTTCACATTGATTCAGCCTTTTCTTTAAGACATTTTAAATTAATTTTGTTTTTCTGGATTTGGTCTCCATTTTAAAGTATTTTAGCTTAACAGCCCGCCGTATTCTGCTGTTCTTCATGCGGTCTCCCGTCGCTGATCAACTTTTTCAGTTCACTGAACTTTTTCACTCAGATATTCAGAGTAGCTCAATATAACCAACAGCACAAAACATTTGCTGTCTTTACAATTTAATAAGAGGGTTTTCTTAACGTTTCTGCAACTGATTGATCTTCTTGCTAGTTTTGTTTTAACATGCATCTTTCAATAAAAATAACACTTATAATTGAAGGCCCTTTGTTGTCATTATGTATCATTCTTTCAATATAAACATTGAATGAATACATAATTTAAGTGTTACTTTATGGATGAGTAATGGATGGAAAGTTGTAGCAGCTGTGAGGGAACAAGATGCATAAAAGAATGTACCACAGCTAATAAAATGTAAACCAACACAGGAATGTGTCAAGATATAAAAAAAAATAATAATAATTTAAAAAAACACTAAAATGTGACAGAACCTTAATATCATGATAGTATACTATATTAAGAGATCATTAACTTTGTGAGGTCTTGAAATTTTCCCGTCATTCATTATTATGCTTGAAGCTGTGTTGTTTGGTAATGTCGTCAATCAAATAAGTAATATTCCTTCATTTTATATCAAAAATTATAATCTGATGATTTACCTTGAACTCCTTTTAAACCTGAATCAAATTCCACTTTAAACCATGTTCATTTTTGTAATGGGTAAATCTTTATTTGCATATCCCTCCCAGTATATTGGAGTTTTCTGTCCTCTTTTGTCTGAGGTATGGCAGTAGCATCAAATTCATTAAACTCCGATAGGGAATGAATGAAGTAGTGAATGCAGCCGGAAATAGAAAGGTTGGTCGTTTTCTTTTTAAAAATGGAAAACCCAGCTCTACATGGAGATGACTGCTGTTCACCTTTTCACGCACCAGTGACCTTAATCCATCTGGTAAAACACAGACTTAAAACTCAATGAACATCTGCAGAGAGATCTGCAGACAAGAGTTCACTCACAGTTCAAATCCAGTCAGAAAATGCTTGAAAGCAACCGTCTCAATAAATCCAGACCAGATAACCCAAA